AGCGGGTGCAGCGTGCCCAGGGCGAGCTGGTTGGATTTCAAGGCAAAAAAAAGCCAAATACTAAAAGAGGGAAAGAGCGTAAAATTCAGATGAGGGGAAGGAGGGTCTATTCGGTTTGCCTGAACCCTTTCAGGGGAGCGCCCGTGGTTTGGATGGCTCCACGTCTCGTTTGTCTCTGTGTGGGGTTTGCCTGGGAAAGAGTCAACAGCAGCCGAGCAGCGGAGGCATCGCTCGGTACCCCCCCGGCAGGCATCTGGAAGGAATTAACGTGCAAAATGGTTGCACGTAACGGTACAAAATCAGAAAAGTGACTTCTTTTGTATGAAACAGGAGTCAAAATCAAGGACATAAGGAATGGAAGCTCAAATAAATCAGATATAATGAGAGACCCGATGCCAGTGTGATTCGCTGAAAATGGGGTTCTGATGGGGATGAGCCATTTGCAGGGACAACAGTCACAGGTGACCTGTAACACTGCAGGGACGGATGCAGTCTGTAATGGCACTGTACAGAGTTGTCCAAACATTCACAGCTGGTCTGAAACAGGTACTCGATTCCCTGAGAGAAAATGGAAACTGAACTGGTTTAGCCAGGACTTCTCACCAACACTGCGCTGCAGTCTGCTCCTTGAGTGCCTTTCTGTCTTCTGTCCACATGCACACATCACCTGCGGTATGTGCTAACTTTGCTTTACAATATCTCAGAATAGATTTATATTTATGGTTTTTATGGTTTTTCTACATTCAACATGCCTATCATATTTGTTTTATAATGACTCGGGTACAAACCAGGTGAGTCTATTTGTATTTGCAATTTAAATAAAGGAGGTGGGGATGTGGGGATGGGAAGGTCCCTGCAGCAGTGGCATTTCCCACTGGGACTGAAGTGCTTCAGCTTTTGCAGATTAAACTGAAGCCATTGCTTCAGCAACTGCACATTGAATTAGAAATGGCCTTCATAATGATTGCCAGGGTATTTGTTTCCACTAAGAGCTAAGCTGGCATTATCTTCGTACTACATGATTAGCTTTTCATTCAGCTTTTTTATTTCAGGTACTGACGTATCTCTTTGTTTATTCCTTAGCATCATCTTCCTAATTGTCAATGGGAGCTGTCGCATATTACTTTGAGTTGTCAAATGCATAGGGAAGTTTTGCTGAGAGCCGATAGATGCCTGGCTGCTCTGAGACGCGCCCAGGAAAACGTTCAACTTGCTCGGTTTCAGCCCAGTGGCAGGACAGAAACCAGTTGAGAGCATCCCGGTAATGGGAGACGACTGCGACCCACGCAGCAGCTCCCAGGGAGGAACACCTCTGGGAGGAAGGAGGCCGGAGCAGCTGGGAGAGAAAAAGAGCTGCAGGATAATGAGAAAGGGAACAATAGCTGGAGGAGGAATGAAAGGGTCTGGCCGCGGAGGCATCAGTGCAGAGGTATTGCTCAGGGTGCTCCTACCCCCATCAGCTTCAAACCCGTCAGAAGAGAGTCCAAAAAAAAGGGACTTCTAATACTTAGTTTGAACTCCTGTCACTGCTTTGTCATTACCATATTTTCAGATATTCCCAAAATAAAATAAAATAGAGTATTGGCATCAGCGCAGATAAAAATCCAGGATTCATTATGCGGCAGCACTGAACTGAATAATTTAGCTTCCGTTTCCATGACTGGTATTTTCAAGGCCCTTCCTTCTCCAAATTAAATCCTTCAGGCAGAAATGTGAGGGAGGGCAGTTTGCAAAAAGGCCAGCTGACGGGAGGAAGGGACTGGCAGGGCTGGTGCCGCAGGCAGGGCAGGCAGGGCTGGTGCCGCGGGCAGGCAGGGCGGGGGGCACCACACCACCCAGGGCCACTTGGGTTTCATCACCGGCAGCGAGACTTGGGCAAGAATTGCACCTTAATTATTTTTGTTGTAAAACCAGTGCCAAAGGAGATCCTTAGGATCCATTAGAAAACCCATTGACGGGTCATTACTGGTAGCTTTGGACCCTCGAATTCAAGAACAACTAAAATATGGCCAGACTTTAACACGGCCCACAGTTAAACAGAGCCTGTGCCATTAGCAGGGGCCTGGTGAATGACATCAGGTTACTTTAACAGCCTTTGAAAATGCAACTCTAGGGTTTGGGATTCAATATGTCAGCATTCGACGGCATAACCGCTGCTGTACAGCAAAGCGAAAGGGTACGTGGACGTTTATTTTTACCTACATGGAAATAACAATCCAACCGGATTCGGAGGTTCTACGTTTTCCACTGAACTCATGGGTGTTAGCTGCATTCAGAGCAAGGCAGTCGCTACGGCTCCTGGAGCAGCAGCCCGGCCGGGAGAGGCGGGTGAGCCTTCGGACAAGCCCAGCACAGCCGCTCGCTGCGGGGCCAGTGCTCGCCCTGGGGCACCGCCAGCACCGGCCCGCGCCCTCCGGCACAGCAAACCCAGCAGCTCCCATCGGACACGACGCGGCTGGTGAGAGCCTCTGGCACAGGCGCCCGGGGAGGCCGTCGGGTGCCCTGCGCCGCAGCGGGCGAGATGCCGCTGTATGGAAAATGATGAGTCACGCGCTTCAGCTCCATCGGGATAATAGCATAGGGTGAGAGTTCTGCAGGAAATATAATACCATGCGTGGGTATATGGCATGTTCCCCCTTTTATCTAGATCAGCTCACGTAGAACTGATCGGGAAAGAAGATGTGGGTACAGAATAAAGAAAAACGGAAGGATAAAAGCTCAGAAGGCCTTCAGGAAGTGGTTCTTGCTAACAGCAGAAAGAGGTCACCTCGACAACTTTTAAATTGTGGTTGTTGCTGCCTCCGGTCCGTAGAAAAGCAATATGCTAGGCTTTCACCTATTATTACATGACTGTTCTCTGATTTCTTAATCTTAGCTTTTAAAAAACTGCTCCAGATCAGTTTTAACATCTTCTTTCCAGTATTTCATACACAGTAGGAAAGCTTAGCACCTGAAAACATTGTCTGATTTTTAGCTTTCCTGTATTTTTAGTGTTGACAAGATTTATTTTAACCAAACAGATGACCTGATCAAATACTGTGTTAAAATGTCAAGAAACAATTTTTGTCTACATTTAAACATGTTTAAAGATGTTAAAAGGGAAATTTAATTGAAAATCCAACATTACCATATTTTCTAATATCCGCTAAACGTTAGCAGATGATGTTTACCATTGATATGATTTGACGGTGATGCAATTGCAGGTATTTTCTGAATAATATTTGACTTCCTCTGCTCCAGAACTGGACTCTGCCTCCAGCTGTGCCCGCAGCAGGACTGCTCTCCCAGCAGGCTAGTGAGCACTGGGAAGTGCATCCCTGCAAAGTGGGATGAAGCCGGGGTCCAGGGACGCGCTCGGGGCCGGCGCCGTGTGTCTGTGCAAAGTGGCTGAGATCTGATTCCTGCGAGAACATCTGCTGAGCGCCCTTTGCACATCTGGAGCTGGCCGGGTTAGCAGCCCTTGCCATCCTGCCCCAGCCAGGGGACGCAGGGCCACCTCTTACAAGTCCCTGCCTTGCATGGGAGCCCAGGATTCATCCCTCCCGATGCCTGCACTGCAATCCCGGCAGAGGCTGTGGGCATGGAGCGAGGCAGGGCCAGCTCCCGCACGCCGCGGGGTCCCTGCACATCATTACGGCTCGGGGTCATTGCCGGGACATCTCCTTACACAGACGGTAACTCGTTGTCAGCACCAATCACCCGGCAGTGCGAGCGCGTTTTCCAGCAAACGCACCGTTCGCCTTGGCCACGGTCAGAGATGCCCTTGAAGAGACAGCACCGATGCCCAGGGAGCGCGGGTTTGCTGCAGCCAAACCGGAGAAAGCCGAGGGCTTTGCTCCGACCTCTGCAGCCTGAAGAACGTGCCCGCTATGCTGATTACCAAATGCTCGCTGTTGGTAGGGGTGCCTAACCGTACCCGTAAGCTATGCGTACCTGCAGGAGGCAAGACAGAGCTGAAACCTGGCCTGGAGGTGAGGAGTGAGGACATATGCAAAACTCCCGGCTTCTGAAGAGCTGTTCTGAGAAAACGTGGCTCTCACACCCATCTCCATCACCTCAAACTGGGATCACTGACGTGGAGTGCAGAGTTAACAGCGCTCTTGAAACCATCCAAAAACTCCCTGCAGCAGCATGGCTGTGTACGAGCGGTGCTGTGCAGCTCCCCCGAGCACGGGCTCCCTCCGCTTCCTCGCGGCCCTCGCTGGGCTGGGAAAACCCTACTGCCTTCCCCACTGCAAGCTTTTGTCCAGATAATGGAGAAAAAGACAGAGAGCCGGCTAAAGAAACCCCAGCCAACCCATTTTGCAGACATACACAACTGGACATTTACTCGCAAGCTCGCTCCAGTGAAAATCAGAGTTAGGTCTCGAAACAGCATTAGGGCGAGACGTGGTGCTGCTGCCGGGGGGCTCGGCTGTACGGGAAAATTCAGCTTTGCTGCAGGGGCAGCATGGATCTGGGGTTACAAAAGGCTTTGGGGGAGCAAGAGGAGCCAGGCAGGGCTGGAAGGGGGCACCAGGCACCTCCGGGGCCCCGCTACCACCCCCCCATGGCTTCCCTGCCAGGCGGCCGCACGGGGACACATCCCTGCAAACAGGGAAGCCTGTCCCTGTACCCCACCGAGGTACGCTCGTAGGATGCTTCGGTTATAGCACCTCAGAGGGAATGCTGTGTTCATTTCCCTCAATGCATTAGGTAGCAAGTACTTAATTGAAATACTTAATTTTGTCTCCCTTGGTATGTGATCTTCACTGTTTCCTGCCTGTTTGTGTTCTTGGCCGTTTGAGGAAACTGTGTAATGTGAGTATTAACGCACTATTAAACCTTCTCAGTAGAATTGTCTTTCCTGGCTGGTAGCTGAACAAAAGATCTTTTCTACTGAGAATAGTAATTTCAATTTAAAATGGCAATATAGGAAGAAGGCAAGATGCTCCCTGCTGTAATTAGAACAAATTTTCTAGCATTCTGCGTTATCTTTAGACTCTGGAAGTGTAGTTGCTCTACTAGGATTAATAAGTCACCTGCATTAACTCTATTTATTGCTGTGTTGTATCACAGGGGCATCACAGTGGCAGCGCTGATCAGAAACTGTTTGCATATTCTGAAATACAGAAGGCACTCTGAAACAGCAGGTTTGTTATTCTTTTTGGTTTATAATATTAATAAAGGCAAAGAGGGAGAAGAAAAGACGTATAGTATTCATCCCTGTGGGAATATGTGACAGTCACGTCGGATGCTTACCAGGGCCTTACGGACCAAGCAGTCTGAATTCCCACGCTAGCCACCCACCACAGTACCCACTATTGATTCTAAAATTATAATCTTTTGCATGCACAATACTGTGCCATTTCTGTCTCCCAAAGTTCACACCCTGTTGGGACTCTGTCGCTCCTTGGGGCTTACGTTACGCTGCGTGCAGATCTATTTAATTAGCCCATGAACAGATTTTGTTTTCAAGACAGCGAAATGTCAGCTCAGACATTAAAAACGCACACGGGGCGGGGGAGAGAGCCGCTTCCCCTGCCTTAGCAGCAGGCACCGGGGGTATCTCCTTGAGGGCTGTAGCACAGCAGGATTTTGTCACCCCTAAAGAGCGGGTTGACAGTTCTCCAAGAACGGCAGTAAGGACAGCAGCGTCGGATCTGCAGGGACGGCAGGCACAGGAGGGCAAAGCACTGGCGAAGCAGAGACTTCGCTGGCAGAAGCACCAGCGGAGCATCGGGCACGTATTCTGCTGGCAGTTTTTGTGAGCGGGCTGGGAATCCAGTTAAGACTTGCTCTCGACCAGCAGCGCATGTCCTATCTGCAACAGACACGTCTAACGATTCTTATCAGCCCTCGAACTGTCATTTCCCAGGTTTGTTTTCAGAGGAAAGGCAAACAGAGGCAGCCGAGGCTTGCAGCGGTGAGCAGGTCCCGCGCCGTGCCGGGCTTGCTGCGGTGCTGCCAGGGCTGCCGTGCCGGGGTCGGGGTCCCCTGCCCACCTCGCCCCCCTCCCCAGGTTCCCAGGACACACGCGCTCCTTTCGGCAGCCGAGCAGTAGGATCCCCGGGGCTGGTGCCGAACTGCAGACCAGAAACCCACCCTGCCAGCCCTTCGCAAGGGGGAAAAGGGAATATTGGGCATCTCTTGTGGGAGATTTGACATGCCCTCCTGGTTTTCTTTACTGTTACGGACTTTTTCGTCTTGCACATTGCTTCCTTGCCAGCGTTCAGCCTTCCGCCTCAGCTGCTAAGGGCAGCAAGTTCTTGCAGGAAGGTGACAGAAATTGCTTATTGTGCAAAAGCAACTTCCCACGTACCTGTCTGCTCACCCTCACATTTCCCAAATAGATGTACTCACAAGTCGAGGCCAAACCTGGGCATTTTCAGCATGTGAAGCTAAGGCTGGAAGGAAACAAAAACTGGGGTAAATAGCCACTGCTAAGAGTCTGTCTACTATGTATTTTTAAATAGACAAGGACAAGCTCTGCTTTTTTGTACAAGTAAGTGTTTGCTTGAATCCTTTAAACCAGAATTTCCTCAGTTCTCACCTATATGCACAGGTGGCCGCTGGAAGTCCAGCCGAGGGACTTCCTACAGCTTCAGAGGTGTAGTATTTTAAATATACAGGCAGTAGTATTTTAAAATAAAATAAATTTGTATTTCAGGCTCACTGTGGAAAGTCTGCAGCTGTATAAGGAGTGCTGGGAAGAGATGCTGTCTTCTGTGACAAATGAAAAAGGAAGATACGAAACTGCAGAGACTGGAGAAGGAAAATACAGTGTGATAAAGCATTATTCGACCTAACGCATTTCCTAATGAAAAGGGCAATGAAGCTCACCAGAAGCCAATAGGAAGGTCATGAGCCAATTCAGGTAAAATGTGAAATAGGCATTTTTGCAGCAGAAAGATGTCCTGCAGCGGGGAGTCGAGAGCAGCTCCCCCTCCGAGTTCTGTCCTCACCCACCCCTGCCAGCAGCACTCCCGAGTGAGACGAGGAGTGCCTTATATACATGTGTGTTTATATCTATCTACCTATATTTACCCTCACTATGAGCAGGCATTGCGATGATCATTTATGGGGGTCCTCTCTACCAGCCTCTCAGTCTGCACCTGGTTTGGGCCTGTTGTTCATACCAGCACACTTTGAAATATTGAAATCTGCATCTAAATCTTCCTGATAAGCAAAACCAACAGGTAGAAACAGCTGGATTTATGTCCAGACCGTTCCCTTTGCACACACCCACACACTGCGATAGTTCAGCGGTAATTGAACTGACTGGGAATTTCCATTTGCTCTCAAGCATGCTTTCTTTTCTCATTAGGGATATATAATCCGTTTGAGTTAAATCAGCTGTTAACAGAACAAAACATTCAGTTTAGTGGAAATCAGTGGTATAAAATCCCAGATTTTGCAGAAAGTGCATTAAGAGGCAAAGCTGGAAGGAATTCAGTTTCAGCTACACCAGACAGAAACCTATTCAGCTACAAGGCATATGCTAGAGCTATGGAGGAAAAGGTGCTAATGCAACATGCTTTGTGGTTGTGGTCCAAACTAAGAACAGATCAGTGATACCAGCAGGAAGACACTAATTTGCTGGCTGTGTATGAAGGCATGTAACAGTATGGCTGCTAAAAAATATGCCTCGTTCTTTACTCAAGTAAGTGCTTGGACCTTGCGCAGCTGAAGCACTGCAGTCAGAATGTGCAAACTGTTAAAACCAGTATGTGAGATTTCCATTTCCAGTACTGGCAGGCTCAGAAGGGCGGTGCTGAGACGCGGGCTGCCGATGAAGCAGCGGGGATGTAGCTGCTTGTACGGCACCGGCTGCACGGGTCTGGCTGCAGCGGGCAGGCAGTTTCCTTGGCAGGTCCAAAGTGCCACTAAAGCCGGTGAGGAGCGAGGGTCCCGGCCATCCGCACGCCTCTCCCCTCCATCAGCAGCACCCGGCTGAGCCCAGGTTGGAGCAAGAGGGGAAAAGTGGTGTAGGCAGAGACAGGAGGTGAGGTTTGCTAGGCTAGGCAAAGGATGAAATACGGAGCAGCCACAGTAACTGGGGTATAAAAAAGGAAGAGGAAAGCCTGGACAAAGTGGGGTATGTGAGGCAGGAGTAAAAAGGAAGCAAGAATGCCAGTGATTTAGAAAACATGCATTAAAAAGGGAAAACGCTCTTTTCTACTCTTGTGAGGCAAGGTGAGTGTGGCTCTGGAAAGATGCTGCTGTTTGCGGCATGGGGTAGCACCTGATCTTCTAATGGTGGAGGTGCTTCCCCAGGAGAAGCCGGGAGCCGATGCGTGAGCGTGACATTACACCCTCGAGGGTACTGTCAGAAAATGCTGGGGCAGGGAGGACGCTTGATGCTCGTAATCAGCGCCAGCAACACGGTCACAACGGGTGTCTGCTTTGGGTGCCCGCCCTTCCAAAAAGCCATTGAAAAATGAGATGACACTCAGAAAAAAGTTACAGGGATGAGTCAGGTTATCTTGGAAAAACCTGCCCTGGCATAGAAGGCTAAATAAATTGAAGTCTCTCAGACCAGATTATAAATCTGAGCTTGGAGTCTTTCGTAACGGATCAACAGCGCTGCAGCTGAAGGATGTGAAGCATGGATTTGGTACGGATTCACTTCTGCCTTCAGATATTTATGCATTTGTGTTCATCCTTGACTATGTGTACTGGCCCCGCAGGAACGTTACACCAGAGGAGGAATCCCTCTCTCTGCCGCCACAGCTTCATGCCGGATCAGGTGTTGTCTGTCTCTCCTGTCCCGGCGAACGTCACGTCGGCGTGAACGCTGCCATGGGTGCCTGGGCAAACCCAGCACACGGCGGGGTCCCCGTGGCCCGACCCCGCGCCCGGCGTTGCTGCCGGCGCCTCAGCCTGTCTCGGGCACGAGCACGAATCCTAAGAAGTGCCTCCTTCCCCGGGCAGCTGTGGGCTCCCGGAATTACTGCTCCGACCTTTCGTCTCCACGGTTTGGATTTACGGCGCTGCTTAGGTAACCGAGGCAAACAGGCGGTAGTTCATAGTGCATATTTACTGATGCTATCTAACGCTGCTCTGGTATGACTCAAAATTTGCTCAAGACAGGGAATTCAAGGAAGCTGCCAAGAGAAGCTCTGTGTTAGCAATGGGACTGAGAGAATCACTAATGAAATAACAATTACAAAGGGAAAGATAAACTAAAAGGCTTCTCGTACGCCAATAGCATCGCTTTGTACTTTTTGTTTTTTTTTTTTACACAATAATCCAAGTTGTTTATTGGAATAAACTCTGGTTTTGGCCATGCAGCTGATTCTCCGAGGACCAAGATGGCTTTTTCATAAACCAGGATGGTGGGCTTGATATTATTATACTGTATTCACCGTACGTCTGGTTTGTGGGCTGAGCGTTTTCTCTTGTGGGAACACTGGGGCTAAGGATTAATTTTTGCTGGCACTTTAAAATCCTAGAGGGCACCACTGAACAGTTTTGTAAACTGGGTTTGCTTTACAAACACAGATTTTACAGGTGTTGCTGTTCTTGTCCCATTTTTCGCTTTCCTTTCTCTTCACATTCAATTTGTATTAAAATGAATCTTCAAAGTAGTAAATATGAGGTTAGTGGATGAGTACAAAAAGAAAAAAACCCACTAATATACAAGAAGAGAAGGTCTCCATATTTACAAAATTTAAGCCGTGGCTTCAAAGTCGTAGTCTGTGTAACTTGCCCCAAAAGAGATGCCAGGCTGGCAACTCCATCTGCATCCGCTTGCATATTCCTACAGGGATACAATATGCAGCTGATTTCCCAATTAAGCTTTCCCAACAAAGTAGTTTTATAATTTAGACAGACTCAAAAGTTTGAAAAATGAATGCATATTCATGAAGTACTAATAATCCTCCGTCTAGAACACAGCTTTTAGCTGAGAGCAGATATGACTAGCTCATGTATCACTCACCACACATCTTAACTAAAATGTGAACAAGGAAGAAATGGCTGAAACCAGCAGATTGTGTTTTGCTAAGACAATAAATAATAATCGTATTCTGACTCAAGCGCCAAATGTATAGCGCTTAATTAGAGGTCAGTAGAGCGTATTTCTGCTCAGCTGTTCCATTTACAGCAATTAACATGTTCGCGTAGCTTAAACTGGGTTGCAGAGCAGATTTCAAAGGGCTGAGCGAAAGCAGGATCGGGGAGGTGGCGTTGGGCCGCTCGCAGCAGCAGCAGCGCAGCAGCAGCGCAGCAGCAGCGCACCCGGCCCCGACGGTGCTGGCGGCCTCCGGGGAAGATGGCGGACGGAGGGCGCTCAGCCCAGGCGCGGTGTCGTCCTCCTCCTCCGCCGCCGCCGAGGCCTGGCGAGGACCCTGCCCTCCTCTG